CATGTTTAGGAAGTTATTAAATAAAATCTGTTTCACGATATTAATATTCTCGTCGTGAAACTGGTCATTAGATAAGAGAATCGCGTGATCTACAAGATTAAAAATTGTGTTCATTTTATACAATATTTAAAAGAGTGATTGGAAAAAAATTCATATATCTGTTCGAACACGTTTCCTTCCTGTACCAATTTGTTACAAGCTTTCCATTTGACCGAGAGATCGTTGTATTCAAAAAATTAATACATTCCGTTTGATTCAGTCTCATGTGTAAAGGTTAAACGGTGGTGATAATTATTAAAGGTATTAATTATTTCGTGGATTTTTGTCTTTGGAATAATAGCGAAAATATCGTCAACATATCTATAATAAGTCGGAACAATGAAACTAAGTTGACTTAAACAATGTGTTTCGAGATCATCCATCACCATGTCTGCCAAGATGGGTGAGAGAGGAGATCCCATGGGACTACCAAAGATTTGTTCGTAATATTGTTCAGTCTTGCTTAGTTCTTATATATGCCGTCGAATTTATTTTAGATTCTACTAGTTTTAGCTTTAATACAAGGTTACATATAACAAGTCTTATTCCATTGTTACTAGATCAATGGAAGTCAAAACACGATTGAACAGTTTCCAAAAGATACTTTGAATTCAACATTTAAAATTGCCTCGAAATTAATAAGCATACAAGAAATTCAATCAGGAAATTGTATGTTTTATACATTAAGAAATGTGTATTATTTAATTTTCACTGATTTTTGTACAAGTACATCATTTCATATTTTTTTATTTTTTACCGGATTTTTGTTACTTATATAATTCTTTAAGAAATCAAACTGTACTTAAATTTAATGAAAAAACGTCCTCATTTTGATGAAACAAAACTTTCTATTATAATGGTACATGCGATTAATTAGTAAATAAAATAGAAATGCCTTAATAAGATATAATTATATAAAAATTGATTTTAAAAAGCACAGTCTTAAGTAATAAGACATTTTTATATAGAGGAAGTTTGTTTTATAAAGAATAAATTAACGGTAATAATATTCGCCAATGTTATGTATTTAAGAAAATATGAAAAAATTTCTCAAAATGTACCAAATGAACATACAAAAATATGTATTTTTGGCATTTTTATTATTACATTTAATCTCATTAATATAGTATTCGTTACTCTTACAGATTTAAATAATTAATGTAAAAACTTTAAATATATTAACAATAAAATAAAGTAATTATTATAAAAATTAATATAAAATATCATATTAATAGTTACACTATATTGTTAATATTAAGTAAATATATATTGATTAAATAATGAATATTTATATATTTATATTTTTTATTATATATTTCTTTTATTAATATATATATATATATATATATATATGTATTTATGTTTTATTATTTACTAGATCTTTATATATAAACAATGTATATTACTAAAAATAACTGTGAGACGACCCAACTGGCTTAAATTAATTCTTATTATTATTAGTTTGATGCCATATACAAGAAAAGACAACGTTTCGAACTTAGGTTTAGGTCCTTATCAAGTCTAAAATTAACATTAAAAAATACAATAGATGTACAAACAAGAATTTCGATTTTTAAGAAAGCAAAGCGCAAACCAAGATTGTAATAACAAATTAAAACGTACCTTACAAAATCTTTAGTGCAATATATAATTAATTTTTTCATTTTACATATTTCAATATAAATACTGTGTCACGTAAAACGTTCAGTATGGATGGTAAAGACGAACTAAGTTAAACAGCTTTGATTCTTCTATCATAGATCGGATTCAAATTCTCTGTGTCTTTCTGTAGGTTGATCGTGTTATTAAATTTTTTTATAAAAAACATTTCAGCAATCTCTCTTTTCCTAGTGTTTGTTTCTCGATGTAAAATATTTAAGTTTGTCCATTTAAAGTCATGCGAAAAATCATTTCTATGTTTGCTTATAACATTTTGGTTGCTGACATGCATTTTTATATTATTCATGTGTTCTTTAATCCGAGTATTAAGGTGTCTTTTAGTTTGTCCAATGTATGTGGCGTCACAGTCGTTGCAGTCAACTTTATAAACTATCTCGGTCATATCGGCTTTAGGTAATTTGTCTTTTCGGGGTTTAATAAACGTATCTAGTTTTTTTGGAATCGTATAAATAACACTTAAGCCTGTCTTAATAGATCTCTCAATAGTCTCACTTAGGTTCTTAACATACGGCATTAAAATACAAGACGAAATATCAAATACATTATTTTTGTCAACTACGTTATGAGAATTTTCTAAAAAACATGTTCTTTTATACATATATCGCTCAATGACCGTCCTAGGGAAACAATTATTCAACAAGATTTTTTTAACCATCTGTAAATTCTCATTATGAAATCGTTTATCCGATAACAAAATAGCGTGGTCGACTAAGTTATTAATGGTGTTAACTTTGTATTTAAACGGATGGTTAGAATGGTAGTTTAAATATCTACCAGAGAAGGTGGGTTTCTGGTACCAACTAGTCAATAGTTTACCATTGTTTCTAAAAACCAATGTATCCAGAAAGTTAATCTCGTTATTTATCTCTGTTTCATGCGTAAATTGCAAACGGTGATGGTATTTATTAAACGTAGTCAAAATGTTATCAATTTTATTGCGTGGTACTATTGCAAAAATATCATCAACGTACCTATAATAAACTGAAATGTCAAATTGTAAAGAGCTTAAACATTCTGTCTCAAGATCAGCCATAACTAAGTCTGCTAAAATAGGTGAAAGGGGAGATCCCATTGGCGTACCATGTATCTGTTCATAAAATTGATCGTTGAAACGAAAACTAGTAGATTCTAATACAGCGTCGATTCCATATAAAAATTGTGCCAAACTAAAATTTGTGTTACATGAAATATCCCTCCAACGTTTTTCAATAGCTTTTAAAACTAATTCCTTAGGAATGTTTGTGAATAAAGATGTGACGTCAAGAGAAATTAACATTTCATTATCTTCAATACTCAAATTCTTGATTTTATTCGCGAACGTCCAACCGTCTTTAATATGTGAGGTAGGTTTCGTAACTGATCGTTCCAATATATCATGTAAAAAACGCGCTATACTGTAAACCGGGCTCCTAAGTGACGAAACAATTATACGTAAAGGCGCGTTAACTTTGTGAATTTTCGGTAGACCGTAACATCGTGGAAGGTTCCCATTCGTGGTATTAAGACGTTTATATGTCATTTCATCAATCAATTTATTATCTCGCCATGATTTGATTAAAGAATTGATTCTACCTGAAACTTTCTTGAAAGGATCTTTTTACGTGACACAGTATTTATATTGAAATATGTAAAATGAAAAAATTAATTATATATTGCACTAAAGATTTTGTAAGGTACGTTTTAATTTGTTATTACAATCTTGGTTTGCGCTTTGCTTTCTTAAAAATCGAAATTCTTGTTTGTACATCTATTGTATTTTTTAATGTTAATTTTAGACTTGATAAGGACCTAAACCTAAGGTCGAAACGTTGTCTTTTCTTGTATATGGAATCAAACTAATAATAATAAGAATTAATTTAAGCCAGTTGGGTCGTCTCACAGTTATTTTTAATTTTATTCATCACTGGCGATACAAGATACCTACTATTAATGTATATTACATTATATAAAAATACAAAAATGTATAATAATGTATATGTACGCATGTATATGTACATACTACGTAATAAATATTATATAAATGTCATCAATGTTATTTATATAAATATTGAAATAAAATAGTATAAAAGCCAATTTAACATTTATGATAATATATATAAATATAAATATAAACAATTAAAAATTATTGAAATCAATACGTAAGTATAAATTAATGTCGTATAATATGTTAATAATAAATAGATAAAAATTAATATACAACTTTATATAATATTTTTGGAAATTTCATAATTGGGGCAATTTTTGCAGTTTTATACTAATTTGTAATTATGTAATTATTGCAATTTTATGTCTGTGTTATGCATGTTGTTGTATTCAACGTACCTAATACTACATTTACAGTTAACCAAATTGAGTTATATGAGCTAATTACATTTATAAATTATACCGTACCAAACTTGTTGGATTATTCGATCAAATTTTGAAAAATCTCAACTGATCTTTAATCTGTATTAAACGTTTTGCAGCCTTCTGGTCAACTTCTGGAAATAATTGTCGCATATGTTGCTTCGCGAATGCAGATATCTGAAATAAATTTTTATTTATTATCAATCAGTAATTTCATAATTAATCATAAAATATCAATATATACATACACAAGCATGTAAGAGAAAAACATTGCATCTTACATTGTAAAAAAAAATATATACATATATCCCTTATAGAAATTTATCACTAGTAACGCCAATTAATCACTTATTTCGAATACTTATACAATATTGGTATACAGTAATTTAAGTATTCGAAATAAATGATTAAGTACTCAAAATAAGTGATAAATTGGCGTTACTAGTGATAAATTTCTATAAGGGATAGGTATGTAATATATTACGCAAAAAAATTTATAATTTTTATTATTTATCATGCAATTTTACACTTAATTATTTACGTAATTTTACATATTTTTAAATGTAATTTTATATATTTTTGTTACAGTATACCATATATGCAATATATAATATGGCGGGATACATTTCGATTAGATACAAATATTAGAGTGAGAATTTTATTAACTTTACAAATAAAAATATAAATTTTTGAAATTTATAAGCTTTACCTGGTCAACTTGATCCTTAGAGTATGCATTATTAATAAGCACAATTAATGTTGCAGTGTTATTGATAGGGCTAAAAATTAAAGCAATATATATATATATATATATACATATACAATATATATATAATAGAGAAGAGAATTATAATTAACACATACATATTAATTAAATTTTTATCAATATGACCAGTATGTTTTATAAAGAAAATGTGTGCGTCCGTATGCAATATTTACCTAAACTTTATATCATTAAAATTTGTTAATATTTCTCGAAGCATTGTATTATTTTTAGTATGTATCGCAAGAATAGAGAAAAAAACTTTAACTTGTATTATAAACTGTTGATTTTTTATCATTTCTTGCGTTTTATTATTTTTATTTATAAAGAACAAATCCATTTCAAATCTTCTTAAAGCTGACTGCAGATAAGAAAGAATTTGGGGATTCTCGATGCAAGTAAGAAATTCAAACATTGTATAATCAGATTTTTCTTGGTATTTAGTAGTTGCTTCTGTCCATACTTGGTTCCAAACAGTGTAGTTCGCTCTTTTTAAACCATTACAATATGTCCATTTATGCCATCCAGTCGTTATTCTACGATGTATAGAAAATAAATATTTTAATTGTTGACACATTTCTTTGATTGATATTTAGCGTAGTTTTCAATAAATATTAAGGAAGAAATTTCATATGTATATATATATATATATATATATATAATGCACATATGCATATATATATTTATATAATAAGGTACATATCAAGAGACACGGTAGTGTCTCGCGACCAGTTAAGGGCGTAGCGGAGACACCGTGTATCTTAACGCGAGTCGGACATTTGAGTCTTTATAATATTTCGAATCCTCAATAATGGCTGAAGCAATCGAGTTTATACTAGACTTAATCGATAGATTGAGTTCGAATTATATAATAAAAGTGTCTTTATTTCTGCTCTACGTGATTTGTAAGCAGAGATATATAAATGCAAAGTCGAAATATGAAAAATTTCTATTAAGAAACGTCCCCGTCATTATCATCATCGACCACGCATACATAGTAGTATCGTGTTACACGTATTCACACGTATACAACACATGCGCACACATATATCACACGTACACAACTCATGCAAGATGCATGTAGTGGTAATTTTGTCCATCTCGCACGTTTTACAACAGATGGCGATAGTGGCGCTCCGCCATATCGGCAGCGTGCGGGGTTATGTTGGCTAAATCTCTCTCTCTCTCTCTCTCTCTCTCTCTCTCTCTCTCTCACACACACACACTCTCTCATTCTCACTCACTCACTCACTGTTTGTCTTTTGTGTACTTATTTAGTACATTCATGATTAAACATCTATATGCATTAATGTGAAATTTACTTACAATTAGTTTACTTAAAATATTCAATCTCTAAAGTGTTTATCTTATAAGATAGACAAAAAATCTGAGTAAATAATAAGAAAAAAAAACAAGGATTATTATTGTCATAATTTTTTATCAATTAAGTACTCTCAACTATCCAATAATTAAATAAATACGTACAAATGTGCGCGCGTGTACACACATACACCTATTGATATTAAAGAGATTGAAGGAGAGGAAGGAGAAGATAAAAATTTAAATATTCACATATATTTTCAAATATTATATATGAATTTATAGTTTACATATCTAATTAATAATGAATTTCTAATTATATTAAACATATCAAAATAAAGACATACATGTATTTATCAAATGAATAAAATTATTGAATACAGACTTAAAAAATTTATTAAACATAGACTTAAAAAATTAATTAATTAAACATATTCCAAATTTAGAAAAAATAAACTTTATTTATATATGCAACAGCTTTTTAAACTAAATTTTTAAATTCTATTTTATATTAGACAATTATCTCAATCAACATCTACGTCCACATTAGCTGCACTGCAGACTACCTCTACAGCCACATTATCTGCTCCGCGGATATAGCGTTATGCCAATACGATACATTACATGTACTTACTTACTTGCCTTTACTGTACCAACTCTTGTTCTTTCCACGTAATCATGTTTTTACAGTTATCGTTTGCTGTATATCTTCCAGCAAACTTTATTTCGTGTGAAGTGTATTTAATTAATTAAATCTCTGCGAAAGATTGAGAAGATGAAGGGATAATTCAAACTATGAAGACATGGTTACATGGAAAAGACAAGAGTTGATACAATAATAAAGACATACATGTATTTGTATCCTGCTGGCATAAGGTTATAGAAGTTGATTGAGATTGAAAAATAATAATGAAAATAATAAAAAAAATAAAGACACATGTATTTGTATCGTGCTGGCATAAAGTTATAAAAGTTGATTGAGATTGAAAAATAATAATAAAAATAATTAAAAAAAGGAAATATTCAATCATCATTTAAAAGCATATTTGAAATCTGTAGAATAAACAGTTTTTGTAAAAAATGTGGAGCATTTGAGCTCTAGTAAGTCTAAAAATAAATGTAAACATCAATTAATAATAACTGATGTTATATATATATTATATATATAAACCAATTTGTTGCAATATTCACTATAAAAGGTTGTAAGGGTAAGATGGCTAAAAGTGAATAATTTAAAAGATAGTTAACATAATTTTACATAAACTGAAATATTTCATATAATAAAATATTTGTAATATTTCGAAGTTTATGTAAGATTATGTAAAAATTATACCTTTACAACTTTTTATAGTAAATATTGCGAGGAATCGATTTATATGAGAAAAATTAAGGTAATTCTATTCTGAAAATATAAGTGACCTTTAAATAACCTTGAAAATCGCCGTTTAGGAAAAAGTCTGTGTCAACTTTTTCTTTTTCGAAATCCTGCAACTTTTATCTAAATTTAATAGAAAATGTATAAAAAATGCTCGACATTAGTACACACACACACACACATACACACACACACACACATATGGGTAAATTTATATAAATAGAGTGCTTTAGGAGGAATGATCAGGATTCTAGGATATGATTGTACACATCATTTTAAGCAAAGAAGTTTAGATAAACATGTTTAATAATTGTTCTATTCCGGTCATAAAAATATACAAAAATGAATGATATAATCTCTAAAAACTCACCTTTAAAAAAAGGTAAAAAAAGGCGACCAGTTAAGGGCACACCATTAACAAAAATTATCCATTGCAAACCCATGTAGAATCCTATCCTATTGCAAACCCATGTAGAATCCTATGAAAAATTAATCATTGCAAACCCATGTAGAATCCTAGGCAAAATTAACCATTGCAAACCCATGTAGAATCGTACCCATTGCAAACCTATGTAGAATCCTATGAAAAATTAACCATTGCAAACTCATGTAGAATCCTATGAAAAATTAACCATTGCAAACCCATGTAGAATTGTATTAAAAATTATCCATTGCAAACTTATGTAGAATCCTACATTGCAAACCCATGTACAATAGAATTGTATGAAAAATTATCGATTATAAACCCATGTACAATCGTAACAAAAGTAATGAAATAAAAAAAAATTGCGCCAAGTGAAAGTAGAAACTTGTACCAGTGGAAAATTAAAGTTGCAGACATATATAGAGTCGTATAATGAATCAGTAAAAATTTAAATTTGCAAATGTAGAATCGTACCATAAAAAAACTTATCTTTTAAAAAAAAAGATAAACAAGATGCCAAGTCCATGCGCCATGTGAAAAAGAAATAAAAAAATTTTAGTTAAAAAAATTGGGCGCGCTGCTGAAGAGCAGTCGCCCGGCAAGCGAAAGGTCTCGGGTTCGATTCCCGATTCAGCGACTTTCGGATCTATATTTTTCTCTTGCATTCATTTATTTCCGTAGGGGGGTTAAAGGGGTATTGAAATTAAATCTCAAATATGAGATTATTTCATATTTTAAAATCTTGGCCGTGTCCAAGTAAAATTTGGTGCCTTGTGCACTGGTATTTAATTCTAACGAAAAAATAGTTTTACTTTCGTTAGGATAACTCATTGTCATCCGCGATTTGGCTCTTATTGTCTGTCTTATACGTTAAATTTATATATATATATATATATATATATATATATATATATATTGTATATACAGTCATAGATATAAGTATATATAAACTTTTTTTCAGATAACATATCAAATATATGCTTACAAAATTAAAAAAAATAGATGTTTATATAAATACATAATATAATTAAAATGAAATTTACCTATTTTCTTGAGGATTTTCTATATGCAATCTCAATTGATTTTTGGCCTTTTCAATACATAAAGTACTATTCATAATGCAACTCCATTTTGCAATTTCCTGCATTAAATATTTATCAATGTCGTATTTAGTGGGTGCCGTGTGATTGTATATTTGTTCTGCTACACGTTCAAATAGATTTTTTATTTTTTCTAATGACTATAATTTGATAAAAAATATTTTTCTATTAAATTAATTACAAAAATAAATCTAATACGCACAAATTATATAATATACAATATAATCGTGTTGTCCAGTATCGTTTAAAAATATTTCTTAAAATGTATATTTTTATGTAATTTATTCCTTTTTAAATATTAGGTCATAAATATTACATAGGTATATAATAATAAACAAAAATTTCAATTTTGTAAAACTGTATTATGTAATGCACGGGTTTGTAAATAAAAAAATAATGATATATTATATTACATTCTTTTAAAATCATAAAAAAACTCAATTGTTGTTAAAAATTGATTTGTAGAATAATAACTAAGATTCTTGTTTGTACTTAAAAATAAATGCTATTAAACGATGTAATTATTTTTTTTTTTTATATGTATTTATAATTCAAACTTTATTTGACAGGTTTGTAATATATTTTTGAAATTGATTATAAAATTTAAATTATTTGCTTATATTTTACGTATTATATGCTATATTATACTAAGACTGATTTAACTAATTCTTTATATTTATTTTATTTATATTATTAGTTTATTAAAAATAGTTTTATTCACACATATATAAACTTACTGTTGTATATTTAGTTTATTGCATGTCTCATGTTAGATTTTTAAATACTTTATTATTTATGTTAGTAAATTTTTAAAATTAACTTTAATTATATATGATTAATTTATATACCGTTGACACTTTAGACATAATTTTATTTATTATACATAAATTGACTGAAACTGAAATTGATAAACTGATGCATATTATAGAGGTTACTGCATTTTAATTATTAATTTAAGGAATAAAATATTTAATTTTTGTTTCCTCATGAAGGAAGCTTTGTTTGGTGAAACATTTTTTTCAGATTTCTATACCAATGTGTTTAGAATGTTTCAAAACATCGAAAGACACATTTTTAAAAAATAAGTATGTATATACGGATGTATGTACACATCCACATTTGTGTTTTTTTATATCTCAAAAATGATTGGACTTAGAGCGCTCTAATTTGGCATAACAGTAAAGTAAAAGAATAGTTTTATTTGCTGTAATTTCTAGAAAAAATCATAAAGTATTTCATTTTTTATAAAAGTTTGAATTTTTTTTAGAAATATCCGTGGTTGCTCTAACTTTGGTAAATTTTAAAATATCTTGATATATCTTTTAATATAAATAGACTACCATCAAAGGATGGTTGGTATTGAATTTGACGAGGTTCGGTAAAAGGGTTCATTTTTTATAAAATTTTTAATTTTTTAAAAAATGACTTTTGTTGCTCTAAGTTTTATGAATTTTATTAAAATATGGGGATAAATTTTGTTACATAAATAGCCTATCATTTAAGAAGGGTTGGCATTGAGTTTGGCGATGATCCGTGAGTTTTTTTTATAAAATTAAAAATTTTTAAGAAATACTTATGCATTTTTATTTTTCGTAAATTTTGAAATATTGAGCAAATTTTCTTTATATGAATAAAGTATAATTAAAGGAATTGAATTGATGTTGAATTTAATATAGATCGGTAAATTATAAAATTATGAATTATTAAAAAAATCAAAATTTTCAGATTTTATGAAATAAATATAAGAGAGTGAGTACATATAAACACACATACACATACATCTATCTAACTTTTTGAAAATTATTATTTTATGTAAAAGAGTGCAAATTTGAATCTTATTTAAAAATTATCAATTTTATTTAAACATTTTTTTCTTAATAAATTAAGTTTAAAAATTAAATATCGAACATTTCAAAAATTGAGCAAATTGAAATTTGCACATTGTTGTTTGCCATATTAGTTCAATTATGGCTTCCTCATAGAGGAAGCCTAACTTGCACATTGATTGATCAAAATTTAATTTTACTCATTAAGATTGCTCCATGAGGAAGCAATAATTGAAAGAGGATAATAATTTTGCTTCCTCATAGAGGAATCTTAATGAGTAAAATTAAATTTTGATCAATCAATGTGCAAGTTAAGCTTTTTCTATGAAGAAGCCAGAATTGAATTAATATAGCGAAGAAGCAATGTGCAAATTTCAACTTGTTTATTTTTAAATTTTTCTAACAAATATCAAATATTTACCAATGTTTTTGATCTCTCTAATATATAAAAAATGTTACCGATATAATTCCTATACCTTGAATACTTCTAGAAAATTTTCTCCAGCATTTAAAAATGGAATAATATTCGACACGTACTCCAGAGATTTAAACATAGGATACCATGCTATGAAATCCTTCTCTTGCCATAAATAACTCGAGAGTTCCCAAAATATGGAAAAATTGAGTTTTTTCTGTGTCATCAGATGGAATGAGTCATCGATGATTTGGGCTCGATTCAGAACATGTATATTTGTATACTGTTCAGAATTCAAGTAACGCGCAATTAACTTCCAATTTTTATTATCATAGTTGACGCGATAAAATCCTGTACAAACAATATCAATTTTATTAACCAGTTAGAATTGTCGATGTTTTCGAAAATATCAATTTTATTAATATTTTTTTAGTCAAAATATATATATGGAATAAGAAATATTTGGAATATAAATGTCTTTATTTTCTAATGGTTTAAGGTCGTATTAGTTAGAAAATTTAAATTCTTTATAAGAGGATATTAGAAATAAAATAAGTGAAAAGGATATATCTATTGTATAATAAGAGAATCAAAATATATTAATCTTTATGATTTATATTTACCTACCAATTTGTTGTAAGTTCAAAATTACCCAATTTTCTGGTTCAGATAATGGTATGTCTAATATTGGTTTTGAGCGCGTCAAATAATAAATATTTGAAGCAGTTACGTTAAAATTCGTAATATTTGTTTCTTCAGTAAAAGTGACAGGTATAAAATATGGTTTGTGATTCATGTCGTCCTCAAACTCTACAAATATTTTTGCACGTTTTTAGAATAGTATCGTGTAACATTTAACACGGGACAATGCTGCTGCATAGCCCAAATAGTCATCATCTCTTTTACGTCCAAATTATAATTTGTAAGATTTAATTCATTTATGACAATCTGCATAACGCTCCATAAATCATTGGGAGTATTTACCGTATCATAAGAAATAAATCTGTAAAATTTAAAATTGTAACAATTAATAATACATCGTACATCATTGAATTGCAATCAGAAAATATAAAATTATGATAATTATACGTTTTCACTAATATAGCTGGCATAATTCACTTTGATTAATGCCGATTCTTACGAAAATTAAATTATGATAAAGAACGAAATAAGTTTCTAATCATTTTTAAACACGCACTTCGAATAAAATAATCTATATACATTTTAAATTAATGAAATATAAATAAATTGCAGTACGTGTTTAAATGTATTTGTTAAATTTATTATTTTATTATTTATTTTAAATATGTTATATCTCAGAAATCTTAAAATATATTAGTTGAACATTTATGTGAATATGTATATACATTATGTATTTCTATTACATTTATCTCTGTCTTTATTTACTTATTAATTAACAAAGTTAATAATATTTATCAATGTTTAACTTTTCTTAATTTTTAATGTTACTTATGCAAGTTCCCATAGTCATTGAATATATCTACTAGAATACTTTCATATATATGTCAGCGTACAGTTTTTATCTTCTTTAGAAAAGCTTTTTAGGCATATTTTTTAAGATTTTGCTATTATTTTGTATTTATTTTTCTGTATGTGTGTCTCTATGTATTTTGATAATAAAAACACTATTTTAAAGCTTAAAATTATTTTAAACCAGACAAGGTAATTTAAAAAAATTTTGACTGCTGAAAATGATGTCGCAAACTAAATTTTTCATTAGCACTTCGATTTCCCAAAACAATTGAGATTTAATCAGTAAAAAAAGTTTTCGTGTGATAATTATGACTTTTAAAATAAAAATTCATGTTATCTAAAAATCTTTTTATCATATCATAACGCGGAAGGGGACCGGCAGAGGGGGGGGGGTTTGAACAACAGTTTATCCTCTATAAGATGCATTATCTTTATTCCAATATCTTACTTTTTAGTCATGTTAGGAAGGATTTAAATATGGAGTTTGGCTAAATTCTTAAATAGTGTTAATCATATTCTCAAAAAACCTCAAAAATTAAAAAAAAAACATTTTTGCATATTGAACCTCAATTATTTCGGAAACTTCAGGTATTAGTGAAATATGGTTTGCGTCATCGTTTTTAGCATAAAATCGTTTTCAATATACTATAAGATTTATATTATTTTATACTATATTATACTATAAGATTTTCGAAAATCTATAAGAAACACCTTGTCTCAATAAAAATAATAAAATAAAAATATTTTTTGTATATATTATTATGTTACATTGTAAGTATTGTATTATTTACTTCCTGTTTAAATATTCGTTAATACCCTTCCAAAATGCGTTAGATGGAATTATTCTTTCTAACATGCGCCATAGAGCTGCTCCTGTAATAAAAATATAAAATATGTTTAAAGTCATATACATATATATTCTATTTACAAATTCAACCCCCATCGTATTCATAAATTCATAAACAGAACTATTATAATAAAAAAGAAATAATTTTAAATTTAATTTTCCTTTGTTTTTAGCAGAATAAAAATAATAAATAAATGTAAAATTAAAATTTTTATCTTTTCTTAAATATTTATAATCAGCCATTCAACTATTGTTTAATCATATTATTTACAAATTTTATTTATATATTTGTAAATATACTTTATACTACTCAAATTACATTATATTATTCAAGTACACATACAAACATACCCATAATATGAGAAAAAGGAGAAAGTGACTTAATTTTAAATATATAATTAGAATATTCCTTAAAATGATCTATAGCAAATGGATGTAAATAATGAGAATCATGTCGAATTTGAACTACAAACAAGTCCATCATCCGAGAATCTGGAAATGTCTGTAGAAAGAAAAAGAAGCTTGGATTAATAATATTATTGTGTACAATTATTTGTTAATTCCAGAAAAAGTTTTTATATTTAATAAAAGCTTTTATATTTTTTAAAGCTGTTTATATATTAAACTAGTAAATATTATAATTTTATATAATTTAAAAAAATTTTTATGAGTAATATGTAACAATTGGAAGTACATATAAAAATATATTATGCAACGGGTGCGCGGAAAGTCGCCCTTTCCGCACATGATGGGATTTTAGAAAGGGCTCCCTTTCCACGCACCGCTCGCATAAAATATTGTGACCAACATGTGCGGGTCGCAAATCGGCCGAGAGTGCGGATTGTCGCACTCGGCTTCGCCTCGTGCGCCAAACTTCCGCATTCTCGTCCGATTTCCGATTTCCCGCACTTGTTAGCCAATATACTATTATTACATATATTCAAAATATATGTATATTTCTGGGTTTGTGTGCAAAATTTTTTTAAATAGTTAAATTATTGTAAAAATTTGAATATATATACACATATACACATACGTACATGTAAATTATGTTATTATAATTTAAATAAATTTGCACACACACACAAGTAAATATTTTGAATATATAGATGTTTTCTATTCTTAACGAATGACAATTTGAGTATATTTTATATTGTAATATAAAATGGAATTTTTATAATTAGCTTAATAAATGTGAAACAACCTTATCAATTATATATGATTCGAGGAACACAATAAAGCCTTCGTTCAACCATCTGTAAGATCGACATGACGGATGGAAGAAATTATGAAACAATTGATGTAGTATAATGTGAGTTACTGAACGCATTGATAACATTTTAAATCCAACAGAATAAAATTCTTCAGAGTAGATAATATTTGTTTCTCTGAAAATTGTAAATAAATCATTTATGTCGACATTTTTGAGAGATATTAATATTATATTAATATTTTATTATTATTATTATGCTATTATATAATTATTATATTATTATGTAATAATATTTTTATTATTATGTGCATATTAATTAACTTTATTTAATAAACAAAAAAATTGATTAATACAAGAATAAAAGAAAAAATAATACAAAGTACAAACTTTCTTATACATTTTCACTTCTATTTATTTTTTTACTCATGCAATGAATGCAATAGTAAAAAAATAAACACATATTTGTAGTATTAATATTTAAACTTCCTAAATCAATAATTTGAATTTTTATAATGAAACACATAAATGCTATATATATATATACATACATACATACATATATATATATATATATATATATCTAAAATTTAAAATTTAGATTAAATAAACTCATAAATATGCAGTCATATATACAGGGTGTCCCATAATTCGCGAACCACCGCGAATGGGCAGATAGAGCGTGTTAAACTGAATAGAAAAGTCCTGTATCATTTTGCAATATTCGCAATAATTATTGAATTATTAACTAAAATATCTAAACGAATGAGCGGGTAGAAAGCGGTAGGCCGGACTCGGTGTGCATGTCGGATGACTTCTTTGTTATATGCCGCTTAGTATCAAAAGTATCATCTTACTTTTCGGCGTCACTACATTGGTCGCCGCTCGCTGCATGACGCCGCCTCTCGATCAAATAATGCTTTCTACCTGCTTATTAGTTTAGATATTTTAATAAATAACTCAATAATTATTGCGAATATCGCAAAATGATACAGGACTTTTCTATTCAGTTTAACACGCTCTATCTGCCCATTCGCGGTGGTTCGCGAATTATGGGACACCCTGTATATATATATATATACCTATATATATACACATATACACATATATCTGTTGCATACATGCATAACTGATTAAGTATGCCAAAAAATTAGTGTAGAAAAATTAATGTTTTTGAATTATTAAATCTTTAAAGCTAAAAATAATATTACAACTGTATATTAAGCTATAATTAAATTTTTTCATAATTAAATGTATTACTTGAATAAAACCACTCCATAAATCGGCCTGATATAATCGGAAAACTCCATCGGAATAACTACGTAATCTATTTTCGGCACGTTTCTCGAAATAATCCTCCAATTATTTTCTAAATACATGGTTACATTTCCTGCAACATATTGCGCCCATTTCATGTAAGGTATCAAGTTCCTTCTGCACCAAAAAGAGATTTTGTTCTTCGTGGAAATAATAAATTCCAGCCAACCGGACACTATAATCGTGACATCGTTTACAAGTATTTTAGGTGTAATGTGGAACCGTACACGCGTCAACCCGGTATACTCAAATTCGATTTTTCGTATCGGCATATTTGATATAGCACTGTTTTCTTGATCGTATTGGACGGAGATGTTAAAAGTGGTTTTAAATTTCGACTCGTCCAAACATGGAAATAATTGTCGAGCATTTCTCGATTGGAGAAAAGTTGCGAATAACCACCTAAATTTTAAAGACAAACGCTTTAAATTAGATAACGATAAGTTTTCAGCAGTTGTTATGTAGAAACATTAAAGATTGCAGAATATACCAGAGAAATTTATAGATAATATTTAAAAAATAGATTATCAGAATGTTTACTGTTATCTAAATAAAATTATATAGATGCTAATCTAGATAAAATTTTGATGTCAACTTATCTTTATATAACTAATAAAAATATATATTATCCATATCTGTGCACCTTAGATAAAAATAATGTTATTCTTATTTAATTATATCTAGAATAATATTCAGATATAATTTGCTTTAAAGTCCTAGCAATAAATATATACTTATCTAATAAAACTAAAGCAGATAGAGCGATAAAAACGTACAAATAAAAAAATGAATATATTATATATCCCTTTTATAACTTACATTGTTTTTATAATTATGTTTACATAATTAACCGATTTAGATAATATTATCTAAATGAATCACTATATTTTTATCTAGATATATTAAAATTTAAAATAATTTTTATTTTATGTAAGATTAATCTACATATGTATCTTATTATATATAGATAATTTTAAAATCATCTAAGCATAGTACAACATTGTATATCATATACGAGGTGTGGCAATAAAGAAACCGGACTCATGCTCTAATCCTTTATTGAAAAAATATCAGACAATTGAAATGTTGTCCCCTTCAATGTAGTCCCCTCCCTGATCCCTACATCGCTCCATGCGAATTTTCCATTGTTGGAAGCAGTGCTGCAGGTCTTCTTGTGTTATGCTGTTCAATAGTTGCGTCGCTTTTTCTTTCACTGCATCCATGGACTCGAACCTGGTTCCTTTGAGCGCAGATTTGACTTTCGGGAAGAGAAAAAAGTCACACGGTGCTAGATTCGGCGAGTACGGTGGATGTTCCATCACTGGAATGTTGTTTTTCGCCAAATATTGCTTCACACAGATAGCGCGGTGTGTGCCGGCGCGTTGTTCTGATGAAGAATCCATGATGCATTCTTCCTCATGTCTGGTCTCTTTCGTCGCACACGTTATTCAAAACATTTTTATAATAAATCTGATTGACCATCTGATCTTCAGGCACCCAATCAATGTAGAAAATTCCTTGGATATTAAAAAACACAATCATCATCGCTTTAAATTTGGATTTGCTCATGCGCGCTTTCTTCATTCTAGGGGATTAAGATCTCTTCCAATGCATGGATTGTCGCTTAATCTCTGGATCATATTGAAAAATTCAAGTTTCATTACACGTAATTATGTTTTGGAGGAAATCAGGATCATTTTCAATATTTTCAAGAGCGTCAGCGCAGTAATTCACTCGACGTTCCTTTTGCTCGGGTGTGAAAATTTTTGGCACCATTTTAGCACACACTTTTTTCATGTCCAGATCGTCGTGCAAAATCTGTCTGACAGATTCTTTATTGATGTTAGTAAGTTCAGAAATTGCTCGAATGCTCAGGCGGCGGTCTTCTTGAACAATTTTACTGACTTTCTCCATATTATCTTCAGTTTTCGCAGTTGGAAGGACGGCCCGATTTTGAATCGTCCCCGACGTCTTCCCTACCCTCCTTAAACTTCTTAAACCACTCGAAAACTTGCGTGCGAGATAGACATTGATCACCATAAACTTCTGTCAATAAATTGTAAGTTTTTGTGGCAGATTTTCCTAGTTTTGTGAGGAATTTGATGTTAACACGTTGTTCTACATTAGCACGTAACATGATTCCGACGGAGCTCAGATACACGATCCGCTTCTAACAACGGCTATGACCAGACTAACCGCAGCGCATGCGTGAAACTTTTTGTGAGCGTAGAGGGGAGTCCACGAGTCAATGCCCCGCTCTCCTCTTCGTTATCGACGTGGTCGGAAATGAGGAAAAAATCAATCCAGTTTCTTTATTGCCACACCTGGTATGTGTACATAAATATTAGCTTATTCTTAATATACCATATTTACTTATTTATTATTTCTTATACTACTTTAATTAATTTTTAATTATAATTTATTATAGTACTTTTAATATACTTACGTTCTAATAATATCATTAGGTTCTCCTTTTATATAGTAAAATTTCAAATTCGGATTAATTAATGATACGTCATATCTTACGTACAGAGTGTAAACTCCACAATCTAAGTTTGTATTTTTAGGCAATAAATATTCAACAAAATCGAAAATAGCAATGTCCTCCAGATAAATAGAATTAAAATTTGGAATATGAATTGTTTCATCAAGCGATTTAAAATTCACTTCTTTTATATTCATGTATTTTGAAATATATAAAGTTATGTTTGATATTTCACAATTAATATAAAAAGTGGCATTTAACTCGCCACTGGGTGAAAATTCTGGTAACAATGAGATGTCCAGATTGTAATGAATCGGTATTATACAGTTGTTAATCGATGAATTACGGTAATTAGGTACGCTATGGCACTTTACTTTTGCGTTTTTTTTGGTAAAACTGGCCAATGCTATTACAGTGACGTATAATAATATATATAATGATAATTTTGGAAACATCATGTTGGTTTTCAGAAATCTTAAAATAAAAAATAATATCTTTGCTAATATTAAGAATAATTGAACAAAAACATAAATAAAGAACGAGAAAAGAAAATGCAGAACGTCGACTTCTCTCTGAGAATATACAAAAAACAGTAAAACAAAAATAAAAACCCAACAAGACAAAAAAATAAAAAATCTAAGATAAAAATATCATAATTCATAATAAAAATACAAAAATTAAAATTTATAATAAAAATACAAAAATAAATCTTCAAGATATAAGAATTATTAAAATTGAAAATAAAGAAAATAAAAATATCCAATAAAAAATAATAAAAAAATAAAAAAATAAATAAGGAATAAGTTAGAGAAAAAGTGCAAAAAAATACACCATTTATTTAAATATAAAATCTATCAATTTTACAAAAAATGTTTATAAATAATGCAATTTATCTACTTCGACTACGGAAAATGTGTTAATTTTAATTAAAAAAGTTTGATATGATTTGCAACAGCTCTTTAAAAATTAATATACATATAAAAGGCAATAAGAGCTAATTAAGTTCTTTCATTAATATTTATTTCTGGAAAAAGATTTATAACATAAAATATTAGACAGAAATAAATTCGAACGTTTCGGTTGCCTTTTTCAACCTTTTTCAGCGCATCATTTAAAATTAAAGATTAATAGAAATTAACAATCAATTATTCATAACTGTCAATACAATAAAACTATACAGAAACACAGTTATTCGCATAAAACTACGTCAAGCTATTTTTTTTAGAAAACGAAATCAACGCATTTTTAAAGCATGAGCATTTTTATATATTCTATTCCTCGAATCGTCATTCTATGTAATAGTCGCGAAACAGATTTCTCGCTAATTGTTCGGTTAGGAGGTCGGTTGCGAATCTCGATAACAGCAATTGTTATCGAAATGTTAATTTTTCGTATACAATGATTTTATAGACATATTAACAATTGCTGTTATCGAGATTCGCAACCGACCTTCTAACCGAACAATTAGCGAGAGATTTGTTTCGCGACAATTACATAGAATCATAGAATGACGATTCGAGGAATAGAATATATAAAAATACTCATGCTTTAAAAATGCGTTGATTTCGTTAAAAAAAAAAAAATAGCTTGACGTAGTTTTATGCGAATAACTGTGTTTCTGTATAGTTTTATTATATTGACAGTTATGAATAATTCATTGTTAATTTCTATTAATCTTTAATTTTAAATGATGCGCTGAAGAAGGTTGAAAAAGACAACCGAAACGTTCGAATTTATTTCTGTGTAATATTTTATGTTATAAATCTTTTTCCACAAATAAATATTAATGAAAAAACTTAATTAGCTCTTATTGTCTTTTATATGTATATTAAAAAAGTTTGTTTTTATCAATTTTATTAATATTGTATAATATTCGATTTGACAATAAAATTCTTTTAATTCTTTTAATTCCCAATTTAATATAGACCAATGCCTGATTAATTTATAATATATATTGTAAAATATAAATTATATAAATAATATAAATTAAATAATAAAATAATATAAATTATTTTTAATATATGTATATATATATATAATATTATTTAAAAACTGAAATTATAAATGACAAATTAGAATCACCAGTGTAAATACCAATGGAATATAATAAATGTAACTTGTAATATCAAATATATATTAAATAATTTACACTACGAAACGAGAGTTGTATATTGTTAAGATTTAACCTATATTGATTATATTTTTGTTTTTCCAAATTTAATAAGATAATATGAACTTTTGTCTTCTTATAAGCTTCTAATTACATTTCTCTGTATCATATATTTTATAATATTGTGTAAAACAACTTGATTAAGAGAGATAGCATATTTTTTTTATAAATGTTACAGTCGGAAATATATAATATATAAATTTTGCACGAAAATGTGTATAAAATAATATCTCATTTTTAAAAACTAAATATTAAACGTTGTATTTTCAGTTATGTTTATCAATATGTTATTGTTATTAGAATTATATGTGTAACTTGTAAATCATGTTTAGATAAAAAAAACGGATAATAATAAAGAATTTGCTGTTGCGAAATTAAACTCAATTCAAATTTTGTCATTATATTATCTTACGACAAATCTGAACTTAAAAAAGCGAATATTTATTATCATTTGTCATTGTAGAAACATTTGTTTAAAAAAAAAATTAATATCCATATTTGTTTTTTTCTTTATAATTATGACATATTTAATTTTGTAATAACGTTCCAAAAAAACATTAACTTTCGATATCTATTAGAGCTAAAATAAATTAAACAAGTATACTCAATTTGTTATAGGATATAACAAATAAAAAATGTTTTTACAGAACCTAAATGTTTTCAAATATATTATGCAGAGAATAAAGATAATTGTTGAAATAAAAAGTATCATTTTTTCTTAAAAACTAAATAAAATATTCTTTAAAAAATAAAAACTCTGCAATTGTATGTTTTCTACATATTTTTATATACATTTATTTCAAAAGAATTATTAAAATATTATGTATTTTACAAACCTTTATCTTTTTGTTTGTTCAATCACAGGCGTTATTTTAACCAAAAGTGTGTTGCTCAATCTTAATTTCGCTTTCTCGAGAGACTATCGAAGACTGACAACGTTTGCGATACAAAATGAAATACGTAAATAAATCTACAAGGTTACATATAACAAGTCTTATTCCATTGTTACTAGATCAATGGAAGTTAAAACACAATTGAACAGTTTCCAAAAGATACTTTGAATTCAACATTTAAAATTGCCTCGAAATTAATAAGCATACAAGAAATTTAATCAGGAAATTGTATGTTTATACATTAAGAAATGTGTATTGTTTAATTTTCACTGAGTTTTGTACAAATATTGTACATCATTTCATATTTTTCTATTTTTACGTGATTTTTGATACTTATATAATTCTTTAAGAAATCAAATTGCACTTAAATTTAATAAAAAAAACCTTCTCAGTTTGATGAAATAAATCTTTTTGTTATAATGGTACCTGCGATTAGTAAATAAAATAGAAATACCTTAATATGATATAATAATAATACAAGACGGAGGGAAGAGCTTCTTATAGAAGTCCTGCCCAAGGCATGCAGACCAATAGTCCATTGTCGTTAATAAGATATGATTATATAAAAATTAGTTTTAAAAAGCATAGTCCTAAATGATAAAAATGTTTATGGAGGTAGCTTGTTTTATAAAGAATAAATTAACGGTAATATTATTCGCCAATGTTATGTAGAAAATATGAAAAGAAGGTACCAAAAACGTTTAAGAATATATATTTTTGGCATTAAATTTATTATTACATTTAGTTTCATTAATATAATATTTGTTATTCTTACAGATTTAAATAATTAATATATAAAACTTTAAATACATTAACAATAAAATATAGTAATTATTATAAAAATTAATATAAAATATCAAATAAAAAATTTTATTTTAATAGTTGAACTATTGTTAATATTATGTAAATATATTAATTAAATAATAAATATTTTTTATTAATATATATATTTATGTTATTATTTACTACATATAGATCATATGTGTATATGTATATGTATATAAATGTATGTGCATATTACATAATAATAATTATATAAAAGTAATCAATGTTTATATAAATATTGAAATAAAAAAGTATAAAAGTCGTTATAACATTTATGATAATAATATATAATTATAAACAATAAAAAAATAATTAAAATCAATAAGTATAAAATATTGTCGTATAATATGTTAAAAATAAATATATAAAAACTTAATATACAATTTTATATAATATTTTGGAAAATTTCATAATTGAGGTAGTTTTGCAGTTTTATACTAATTTGTAATTATGTAATTATTGTAATTTTATGTCTGTGTTATGCATGTTGTTGTATTCAACGTACCTAATACTACATTTACAGTTGACCAAATTGAGTTATTTGAGCTAATTACATTTATAAATTATACCGTACCGAACTTATTGGTTTCTTTGATCAAATTTTGAAAAATCTCAGCTGAACTTTAATCTGTATTAAACGTTTGCAGCCTTCTGGTCAACTTCTGAAAATAATTGTTGCATATGTTGCTTCGCGAATGCAGATATCTGAAATAAATTTTTATTTATTATTATTAATCAGTAATTTCATAATTAATCACAAAATATCAATACATACGTACACAGGTATGTAAGAGAAAAAGAGAAAAACATTGTATCTTGTACATTGTAATCTCTCTCTACATTGTAATGAAAAAATATATATATGTAATATATTACGCAAAAATATGTATAATTTTTATTAGTTATATTATATAGTGCAATCTAGCTATTATATAGTGCAATTACAGTTAATTATATACGTAATTTTTTATATATTTTGTTACATTATACATGCAATATAGATATGGCGGAATACATTTCGATTAGATAAAATATTAGAGTGAGAATTTTACTAATTTTACAAATAAAAATATAAATTTTTTTGAAATTTTATAAGCTTTACTGGTCAAGTTGATTTACAGAGTAGTGCATTATTAATAAGAACAATTAATGCTGCAGTGCTATTGATATGGCTAAAAAATTAAAGCAAATATATATATATATATATACATATACATTATATCAATATATATAGAGAAGAGAATTATAATTAACACTACATATTGATTAAATTTTTATCAATATAACTAGTATGTTTTATAAAGAAAATGTGTGCGTCCGTGTGCAATATTTACCTAAATTTTATATTATCAAAATTTGTTAATATTTCTCGAAGCATTGTATTATTTTAGTATGTGTCGCAAGAATAGAGAAAAAAACTTTAGTATATATTTTACGCTGTTGATTTTTTATCACTTCTTGCATTTCATTATTTATACTATTAAAGAACAAATCCATTTCAATCTACCTAAAGCTGACTGCAGATTAAAGGAACTTGGTGATTCTCGGTGCAAGTAAGAATTCAAACATTGGTATAATCAGATTCTTCTTGGTATTTAGTAGTTGCTTCTGTCCATACTTTGTTTCCAAACAGTGTAGTTCGCTCTTTTTAAACCATTACAATATGTCCATTTATGCCATTCAGTATTATTCTACAATGTACAGAAAAGAAACATTTTTATTTTTGACACGTTTCCATGGTCGTTATATTTAGCATAAAGGTTTTAATAAATATTAAAGGAAAAAGTTCATATGCATTTCATATATACATATACATATATATGCAAATAAGATACATATATTTTTTTCATGATTATTATAATCCTGCCTGTATATAGAAACAATATTATGAAGAACATGTTAAAATAATTAGAAAAATAATGTTAATAATGACACAACAACTAAAAATTATTTTAAACAAAAACAAATTATTTTAAACCAGACAAATGTTTTTTATGGATATTTGGGTGCTACAAATTTCACTAGTATATAAAAATTTCCATTAAAAATGGTTTTTCTTGCAATATTTGATCTTTTGTAAAAAAGGTTAACGTTATTAGAACGTCTGATTAAATATCCAAATGTTTAATTACCCTATAAATGCACATTAACTTTTTTCACCAAAAAAAAAAACGCGAAAAAGATATTCTTTTACATATTAAATCTCAATTTTATTTAGAACCTGCCGTCCTAGGTGAAGATTGCAAAATCGTAAAAATTTAAAGAAATCTGAAATAAATTGCTAATCTATGAAACAATATGTAATTTAATATGATTGTTCGTAGTCAATCCCTCATTTAATTTCTGCGAGTATTATTTTATGTTAAAAACAAAACAAGAATTATTCTTATTCTAGAAATTTTTTAATCATCTAACTAATTTACTTAAATACTAAGAAACAAATTGATAGAAATTGACAAGTAAAAAAAGAGAGACGTTTATGGAGATATTTTATATATTATATTTATTTGAAAACATATATGTATATTGATATCGATTATATATATTATATATATATATATATATATATATATATCAAATTTGTGTGCACAGTATTAATAGTGTCAACACAAAAATATAACGAAAAGATTCTTACGTAATTATCACGCATCTTAGATGCATTCCAATTGATGTTTGGCCATTTCTAAACAGGAACATTCTCGAAGAGCATCCAATTTTGAAAGTACCAAGTTCAAATAATTATGTAGTTTGTAACGGTTCTCGTCAAAAGGTATCGCTTGATCGTATTTTACTTTCTTCACACAAACTTTTATTTTTAATAATACTTCCTGCAAAAATTTGGTTAAAAGAACATAAATTTTTATTTCTTGCTTAGATGATTGTACATTAGCAGATAAAAGTGAGATCAATAATACATAAAATTTAATGTAAAATGAAGATTAATTTTATTTAAATATATCTAGATAAAAAATAAAATTATATAGTGAATTCATCTAGATAATTTTCACGATAATATTATTTTTAATTCACTTAGTAAATATAGTTGTAAAAAAATAGAAATTATACAAAAGAGTATAAAAATTTATTTCACACACACATACTTTATTAATAATGTTTTTATCGGTTACTTTTTTTATGATCGCTACTAATAAGTTACTTATATAATTTATATATTATAAGTACTTATATAATTTTATATGTATGACTTTAAACCAAATTATCTGAATATTATTTAGATAATATAATAAAACTTTTTTTCTAAGATGCAGATATAGATATAATATTTACATTATTTATTATAAAAATTAGATGATGTCAAAATTTCATCTAGATGATAATCTATATAATTTGATTTAGGCAAAGAGCAGCAAACATTGGTTATTTCTAAGAAATTATTAAGAATTATTATTTAAAAATTGGTCGTCATGATCTAGAAAATGATGGTTCGAATCGACGTCGATTCGGTGTCCGAAATAATAATTAATAATCAAGATATAAATGAGCTCTACTGTAATTGCATGTAAATGATAATACATTTAGCACATTTGGGAAGTTCTGGCGCATTTTGAGAAGGAAATATTTGCAACATATAATGAAGAATTTTTGATCATAGGAACCATGCTATGTAATTTGTTTATTCTTCTTGGTAAGGTAGCTTGTTGAGTTCCCAGAATATGGAGAAATTAAGTTGTTTTCCGTATTGCGAAATAATGCATCATCGATGATTTGCGCCCGAATTAAGAACATGAATATTTGTATATTCGTTCGAATTCAAGTAATGGGCAATTTTCGCCAATTTCAGGATCATAATTGCGCGATAGTATCCTATATTGTTCAAAAAATATATTTAATTGGTTAAAAATAGTTATAAAATTATACAGGGATGTTTGGAACTAACGGAACCAATGATTAAGGCGCGGATTCTTTGTCCAATTGGAGACGATTTTTCCTTAGAAAAAATGTTGAGAAGTCATAACTTTGGAGTTATAAGCGAGAAAAAAAAAAAATGGGTTTTTTGAAAACAAACGTTTTGGAGTTAAAAGTCTACATAATAAATTCTTCAGTTAATTGCAGGGTCAAGGTGCTATAATAATCTCTAATCTCTAAAAACTCACCTTTAAAAAAAGGTAAAAAAAGGCGACCAGTTAAGGGCACGCATTAACAAAAATTATCCATTGCAAACCCATGTAGAATCCTATCCTATTGCAAACCCATGTAGA